GACCGCATCCTCCCCCCCCCCCCCCCCACACACACACCTTTTCCTGAGCTGCTCCGCTCTGTGATCACATGTACAGTCCTGCATGACCTCAAATCCAGGGGTAGGCAACCTCGGCCCTGCAGCTGTGGTGGAACTACAAATCCCAGCATGCCTCTGTCTCTGAGTGTTGCCTATGGCTGTCAGAGTCTTGCAATGACTCATGGGACTTGTAGTTCCACACCAGCTGGAGCGGCGAGGTTGGGCAATGGCCCACCTGGCGCAGACAATGAAACCCTCCCGCTAAGTACATATGAATACTACAGTAACAGCCACACGTGACGGGGTGTTCATAACATGGGGAGCCGTTTATTGGGCCCCGTTCACATTTGCGTGCGTTCATGCGGCATTCAAAAAGCTTGTTACGCTTGCGGCGCCATTATATGTTAATTGCACACCGAGCGCGGCAGACAAAACGCACAACGAATGCACGGTCGCTGCTGCTGACGCACGGCAAAGCACGCAGAAATGTGCTGCACGTTCACGCCTCCTGCAAGTGTGAACGGGGCCTGAAAGTATTTGAGGACACACGGGGGGTTCATAACAACTGGAGCTGACTCTGAAGCAGTTGCTCATGGCAACCAATCAGCTTCTCTCTTCAGTTCAGTTAAGCTTTGATAAGCTGATTGGTTGCCATGGGCAACTGCTCCAGTTGTTCTGAACTCCCCTCATAGTTGCTATGAGCAGGATGGACGGTCGTCAGACACTGTTACACTCCTGGCTCCAGGAATACGGAGAGACGCTGCTGGATATAGATTTCTGTGGAGGGGAAGTTATCAAAGCTGGAGCAGGTGTCCATGGCAACCAATCCGATTCTCGCTTTCATTTCCAAAGCTTAACTGAACAAGATGCAGAGAGAAGCTGATTGGTTGCCATGGACAACTGCTCTGCATTTTGTCTGCTCCAGTTTGGATAAATCCCCTCCCCCCCATTGTGTCCTGATCAGGAGACAGTTCATGTTTCCCTTTCTCTCGGCAGCTCCTCTCACCTCAGAAGAAGCCGTCCGGGTTCTGGACCCTCCAGTACTATCAGGACCTGTTCGATGTAGACACCTGCCAGGTAATGAAATCACAGCCTTCAGCTGAATACAACGAGGATCCGTCATGAGGGAATTGTCTGCTGCAGTGAAATAAGCAGAACATTGGATATGGGCCCCCGATGCTGCGAGGTCACCATGTGAGGCTTTCTATGCACATTCACTTTAGGTGAATCCTCACACTTGCAGGCAACATTCAGTCATGTGCTTGTTCTGTATTTCCTCTATCATCCTGATCTCAGTGCTGGGGTACTCTCTGATCATAGGAAACATGGCTGCCAACATCCTCCTTCCTCTATAATCTCTACTCCCCTATCCCGCTGATTGGACACTGAGAGACCAGGAGCAAGACTTCCAGGCCCGGGGGAGGGTTGACTTCCAGGCCCGAGAGAGGGTTGGCTTCCAGGGCTAAGATTGGTTTGCTTTAGGACATTGAGAGTAATTGTTTTGTAGACTCTGACGCCCTTTTCTTGACTTAGGTGCTGGACCGGATCCGAGCTTCCTTCATACCTGTTCCTGGGAAGAATTTTGTCAGACATCATCTGCGGAATAATCCCGATCTTTATGGTGAGTTGGTTGACTCCTATTTGGGTGGGGGATGGGGTACAAGGACAGAATAGCAGCACTGAGAAGTTTTTCCTGTCATTTTGGGAACCTCTCCCCCCTTTCCCACCCCTTCTATTGGTCAGAAATTGATGACAAATTTGTAGGCGGGTCTATCGCCCTCCAGGTCATATGTCGCTGCAGGACAGTGCAGAAAACCTGCTGATGTTGCAGCATGACGTGTAGCACGTATGCCCCGTGGTATTCACCCCGCGCGTGTCTTCAACCAGCAAGCTAACGTCTTTCTCCTTTCTCAGGACCCTTCTGGATCTGCGCCACACTTGTCATCACCGTCACTGTGGTGGGGAACCTGGCCACCTTCATCCAGATGCACGGCACGCCCGGTTACAACTACAGTCCCCAGTTTCACAAAGGTGAGGAACCTTAATGTGGGCGTCTCGGTGTTTCAGGATTGGGTCACCTATGTAGCTGTATGAATTGCTGTCTCTGGGGTACAACATGGCTGACGATTTGCTCATTCTGTGACAGTGACGGTTGCTGGGCTTGCCATATACAGTTACGCATGGCTGGTCCCTTTAGCCCTGTGGGGATTTCTGCAGTGGAGGAAAGGAGTGAGCCCAATGGTGGGGACCTACAGCTTTATGGAGACGGTGTGTGTCTATGGGTACTCCCTGTCTGCGTACATTCCTTCAACAGTGAGTGTCTGTAGAAATCAGTCTGATCCGATCTCTCAGCCAATGGCAGCCTCTCCATCTCTCTATCAGCCAATGGCAGCCTCTCCATTTCCATCTCTTTATTATTCCCACAAAGTTATTATGTTCATTATAACGGTAGCACATGTGTTCCTTCTTTCCTTTTTAGCTTCTCTGCGTAGTCCCCTATGAAATATTCCGCTGGATCATTCTTCTTCTGGCCATGTGTCTGTCTGCTTTGGTCCTCGTTCTGGCTTTCTGGCCACACATCCGCAGAGACAACAAGATGGTGGCTATAGGGATGGTGACTAGCATGGTGCTTCTACACGTGCTGCTAGCTGTGGGCTGCAAGGTACGTACACTCCTCTTAAGCTAGGTTCACACCTGCGCTACACCCGGGACTCGCGTCCACAATACAGGCAGCGATTGCCGTGCGGCCCCATTAATTTCAATGGGGTGACAAACGTGCAACAATCGTAAAAAAAAGTACAAGTACTTTTTTTTTGCCATACACATTGCGGGGCTGTTTTAGCCGCAATCGTGTTCGGAAGCAAGGGGCGGAATAGCGCGCGATCCGCCCGGCGCCTCATTAGAAAATAATGCACCCGCAGCGTGATCGGTTCACAGCTTGGCGACTCCTGACTGCGCGGCAATGGTGAACCTAGCCTCAGACAGCACAGCCAGCTCTGTCACCGCATTGCATTTATATAGATCCTGTTGCCTCATCCATGCAGAGCAAAGTGATTTCACCCGGGCTGCTCTCCCTTGGTCATGTGACAGCACTCGCTCATAGCCATTGGCTATGTACTATGCAATTTCTTTACCAAAGCTATGTAGTATGTGGACAAACCTTTCATTTATGGGCAGCATTGTGGATAACAGACGCGTTGTGTCCTTCCAGGCGTACTTTTTCAGGAGAGTGGAAGAACACCATCCAGAAGGACCTATGACGGCTTCCACCACGACAAAGGCCCTCACTACTTCACATCCGAAGTGATCGTCTCCCCATATAGGACGCAGTATGGGATGGACGCAGTATACTCTTCAGGAGCCTGTTCTAGAGCGCCCGGTGTATGGCGTCACCAATGATAAGACTGTGTATATAATATTGGTGTGCCTGCCCACTGCAGAAGATGGCGATTTATTGCACCCGGCGCAGCTCATTCAATTCCCGTCTCTATTTTTACTGGTAAAGGTTCTCTACTGATGCAGATCATTTAAGATTTGATTAATAAAGTCCATTTTTGTTTCTTCTATGAAATCTCTGCTTGGTATAATTATTCAGACACGAGGTGGCGCCATTCCTCGAGTTACTATCCTGCACCAGAGTAGCTGTGGCCCGCGCTGCAGAGACTCGTTCTGTGCCTGTTACAGTACATAGGTTGATGGAGCTGAACTCTGCTCCCGGGCTGTTCTGGTCATCCAAATGCTTCAGAACTTTATCACTGACTTGGACCAAGTTGGTGGATCACATGATCTGACTTCACTGGCTACATCCTTGTTCCATGTTAGCGCCTCCAACGATTGATGGCAAAGACAAGCAGCAGACTCGTATTCTTAGGAGAATTTCAGCTTCTGTGCAACTTTCCTTTTAAGTGTTTTTTTTTTTTAAAGAACAAAATCCAAACTTTTTGGTTTTATTCTTCTTTTGGGTCAAGCTCAGCATCTAGCCGGCTATTGGCCACTATATGCTCACAGCGCAGAGCCGTGCTGCAGCTGGGAAAAACCCTGGCAATACGGTCAGAATCCATCCCTCTGCCTGATTGACAGCTGGCTTTGCCTCTCTAGATCCAGCTATGCCCGCCCCCTCCCCTGTCTGTCTCTCTCTAGATCCAGCTATGCCTGCCCCCCCCTCCCCTGCCTGTCCCTCTCTAGATCCAGTTATGCCCGCCCCCTCCCGTCTGTCCCTCTCTAGATCCAGTTATGCCCGCCCCCTCCCGTCTGTCCCTCTCTAGATCCAGTTATGCCCGCCCCCTCCCGTCTGTCCCTCTCTAGATCCAGTTATGCCCGCCCCCTCCCGTCTGTCCCTCTCTAGATCCAGTTATGCCCGCCCCCTCCCGTCTGTCCCTCTCTAGATCCAGTTATGCCCGCCCCCTCCCGTCTGTCCCTCTCTAGATCCAGTTATGCCCGCCCCCTCCCGTCTGTCCCTCTCTAGATCCAGTTATGCCCGCCCCCTCCCGTCTGTCCCTCTCTAGATCCAGTTATGCCCGCCCCCTCCCGTCTGTCCCTCTCTAGATCCAGTTATGCCCGCCCCCTCCCGTCTGTCCCTCTCTAGATCCAGTTATGCCCGCCCCCTCCCGTCTGTCCCTCTCTAGATCCAGTTATGCCCGCCCCCTCCCGTCTGTCCCTCTCTAGATCCAGTTATGCCCGCCCCCTCCCGTCTGTCCCTCTCTAGATCCAGTTATGCCCGCCCCCTCCCGTCTGTCCCTCTCTAGATCCAGTTATGCCCGCCCCCTCCCGTCTGTCCCTCTCTAGATCCAGTTATGCCCGCCCCCTCCCGTCTGTCCCTCTCTAGATCCAGTTATGCCCGCCCCCTCCCGTCTGTCCCTCTCTAGATCCAGTTATGCCCGCCCCCTCCCGTCTGTCCCTCTCTAGATCCAGTTATGCCCGCCCCCTCCCGTCTGTCCCTCTCTAGATCCAGTTATGCCCGCCCCCTCCCGTCTGTCCCTCTCTAGATCCAGTTATGCCCGCCCCCTCCCGTCTGTCCCTCTCTAGATCCAGTTATGCCCGCCCCCTCCCGTCTGTCCCTCTCTAGATCCAGTTATGCCCGCCCCCTCCCGTCTGTCCCTCTCTAGATCCAGTTATGCCCGCCCCCTCCCGTCTGTCCCTCTCTAGATCCAGTTATGCCCGCCCCCTCCCGTCTGTCCCTCTCTAGATCCAGTTATGCCCGCCCCCTCCCGTCTGTCCCTCTCTAGATCCAGTTATGCCCGCCCCCTCCCGTCTGTCCCTCTCTAGATCCAGTTATGCCCGCCCCCTCCCGTCTGTCCCTCTCTAGATCCAGTTATGCCCGCCCCCTCCCGTCTGTCCCTCTCTAGATCCAGTTATGCCCGCCCCCTCCCGTCTGTCCCTCTCTAGATCCAGTTATGCCCGCCCCCTCCCCTGTCTGTCCCTCTCTAGATCCAGCTATGCCCGCCCCCTCCCGTCTGTCCCTTGCAGGAGGAATGGAGAGGGGAATCCCTGCTGGGGGTGATGGCTGACAGTCACCACATGCTGCAGGGAGAAGACCATGAACTGAGTGATCTCTTTTTATAGTGCCAGCATGTGACACCTGCAGTGTTCCAGGCCAGCTCTCCGAATACTTCTCCTTTATTAAAAGGAGAACTAAGAGGTGAGTGCTTTTCACTGACCTCATAGTTCTAGCCGACCTGTGACAATGAGACTGTCACAGCTCGACTCAGTAGATCGAGAAGTGAGCGAACACATACCGGTGTTCACTCACCTCTCGATCCTGTCACGGCTCTCTGCCATGACAGGGGAGGGGCTGGATTCCCCCCCTCCCCACTCTGATCCGCCAGCGCTGACTGGCGGATCGGATGGGGGAGGGTACAGCTGGCTCTGCCTCTAGATAGGCAGAGCCAGCTGTCACTCAGGCAGCTGGGCGGATCCCAGCACAATTGTCAGGATCTGCTTCAGCTGCCGTATACTGAGCTTAGGGTGATGGGAGGACGCTAGTTTGTGTCTTCCCGTTACCCTAAGGAGAACTATGGGGAAAAGACTTAACCTCATAGTTCTCCTTTAAGTAAAATGATACATATGTCACCTTTAGGCCCGGTTCACACCTGGGCGTTTTGTAGCGCGTTCCTACGCTCTGCAAAACGCTCAAACACCGAAATCCCATTATTATTTCCTATGGGTATGGTTCACACCTGGGCGTATTACAGGCCGTATGAACGCGCTACAAAACGCCCTGCGCCCAAAGAAGTATAGGAGCTTCTTTGGGGCGTATTTGCCACACGTATCCATTGGGACACAGCCAGGTAGCCCTCGGAAACGTGTTTGTTGCACGTTTTTTTAACCGCAAATTGCGGTAAAACACGAAACGCAACAAATGCGCATATTCGATACGCCTAGGTGTGAACCTAGCCTTAATAACCAGCATGGCCGATGCTTCCTCTCCCAATGACAATTGTATCTCACTTCTTCAGGGATGCAAAGTGAGAATCTCCCTGAAGGGGGTCACAGACAGAAAATTTCCCACCCGTTTCATATGCCATTGAAAGCATTTTGCTGTTGATCTCGTCAGAAATTCCCCATGTCCTCAGCAAACTTCCTGTGTTATCTCAAGGAGCCCTCCTAGTTCTTGGACTACAGAATGATTGCCCCTTTTTGTTAAGGAGATTGGGAATGGTTGAGTAGTTTAGCAAAAAGACACAGAGCTGACTACACTCACAATACAGAAATTCTGAGTGTTGTCAGCCCACAACAGGCTTTAGGAGCCGAGTGCATTTCTGGCAGATATTTTTCTAGACTTGCAGCGTCTACAAAGGGATAAAACATGAGGGAATGTACTGCACAACAAGACGTTTAAGGCAATGCTGGTGACAAGGCCTATTTAGGAGTAGGTTCACCTCTGCTCTATATTTACTACGGAAGGGGTTAATCATGCATAATGCATTAACCAAAAAGCAGCTGGTTCATAATGCAAAAATACTAATAAAGCACTATATACAACAGCACTGTCGCTGCCTTTTAAAGTGACAGCAAACTGTTCAGAGCAATGGCCCCGCATTTCTAAGAATTTTAAGAAAATCTCATCAGGAGTTTAAAATGCTGATTAAATGCGCCCAGGGGACCCGTACTTGTCCCCATTCAAATCTGAGCAGTGGTTAGATGAAACATTTTTATTGGTCAGTACTGGCAGTAGCTCCACCCCAGGCTGAAGCCCAATTTATGGGCATTTCTATGGGGGAGTTACAGGCAACACCAAAGCCCCCACTCTCCCTCTGTATGCTGCAGCCCTCCTTGTAATATTCCAGCCCTGTGCCCTCTACCTTACTTGTGCAGAAAAAAAAACCAAGCTTGGCTGAGCCCATACTCACCCGCCTGGTACTTCAGAGACTGGAGTAGTAACTCAGCTTCCTTAACAGCAAACAATGGCGGCAGAGAAGCTCCATCATTCACAAGAACACACCATAAGCTGACACTCATTGAAGCCCAACTTGTGCCAAACGTACATTTGTTCTTTAAAAGGACCCGATGCTCTTTACGTGAAGCGATGAGAGGAGATGAAGGCTGCTGGCTGCGACCTGTGGCTTATAAAACACTGTCCATCTGACCTCCAGTACTTTTTCAGCCGCCAGCCCTGAACAAGCATGCAGACCAGAAATTCTGACTTCAGTTATTGCATGCTTGTTCCAGGTCACTGGCTTAGAATGTCAGACAGACGCCATTACAGCCAAGCCACGGTCATTCCATGGAGACAATGGCGGCATTCAGCTTTTTCTGGGTGTTGGTTTCCTCTGAAGAAAACGTGTAGTAGAAATATGGAGCGCGCTATCGCTAAGTTGGCCATTTTCACATGAAGAGCATAGCTGTACGCAAGGGACAAGGTTTTTATTTAACTACCTTCCGGCCAGCTGTTGTGTATACGCGGCCGGCCGGGAGCTTCTTGGATGTAACTGGGCGTGTATACACGTCCTCTTAGATCCGCCTACTCGCGCACAGCGGGAAAGACGAATAAATTTAAAAACCAGCAGCGATGCCAGTTATCATACAAGCGACCCGCCGGCTATAGAGCAGGCGGATCGCTTGTATGAGGTTCCGATATGTGCGGCCCCCCCTCCCGCTGATCCCGGGCTCCGCTGTGCCCGGTGCGAGCCCGGGACCAGCATAGTGGCCCTCTGAGAGGGGATTAGAGGGAGGTCGGTTCACGATTTCCCTCCAGTCCCCTCTCCGCTGTCAGAATGCGGAAGTGATGTATATTACAACACTTCCGCATTCTCGTGTCACTCTCCAGCTTCAGATGCTGGAGAGAAGCTGATGAAGCAGATCTCTGCT